ATTTTTGTTGCTACTTCATGACTGTAGTTTTGTTACTGTTATGAATCGTAATGCAAATATCTGTGTCTTCCCATGGTCTTCGGTGACCCCTGTTTGACCCCAAAGGGGTTGTGACCCACAGGTTGAGAACCACTGATCTAGACACGCCCTTCCCAGGTTGATTTTTGACAATTGAAGCTAAACACGACCTCAGTTAGCTGTGTGGCCTCAGGCAGATGAACAACCCCACCCCACCGTCTGGTTCTGGTTTTTACGTCCACACCTCAGGGCTGAGCGTGGAACATCCACATAGAATGTGCTCCGCAGGGCAGGCCTGTCCTCCTCGCTCTGGCAGCACGCCATGAGAGCCCTCAAAGGTGGTGGGGTCTCCTCAGCCCAGGCCGCCTCTCCTGACGGATCTCTCCTTCAGGCTGGAGGGGGCTGCATTATCATGGTCAGTTGGTTTCAAAGCCCCACAGAGAAGTGGCTGTGGTGGGGCCACTTGGACTGGGCTTGAAAACTTCCCTGGTGGCTCACATGTGTGCCCTGTACCTCCCAATCCTGACAGATAACAGTGAGCTGCACGCAGGCCTCTTGTCCCGTTGAGCTGGGGAGGTGTGTGGGTTGGAGACTGTATCCTTCCTGGTGCTAACATGACTTCAGCCTGATGAGATCCACCTGGAGCCGGTGAGCAGCGCTGTTTCCAGTGGCATCTACTCTGGGTCCTCCACCACCAAGGCCCCACTAAGCGGGGTGGTTTGGCCAAGAGGTGGAGCTCAGGGAGGGCCAAGGACAACAGGAGGTGTTGGCCTGTGCCCTCTCTGAGTGTTTTAAACAAACACAGTGGCCTGCTGCTTGCCACCCTTAGAGAGCCCTGTTTCTCACAAGAGCACTCAGCAGACTTCCCCTGAGCTTGAGTGTTGCCTCGAGACACTGGCTGCCCTGTGAAGGCCCCGAAGGGCAAGCCAGGTCAGTGAGAAAATGCTGTGTACCCCCGATGCGACAGGGATGCGTCAGCCATCAGGTGTTTCGTGGCTCCAAGCGACAGCCCCATCAGCTTGGCCAAGAATGGGAAGGCCTGTCTCCGTGCTGTCTTTTGCCTGGGCCTCACTCATCTGTACTCACTGAGGCTGTCCCTCTGTACCGAGACAGACTGCAGAAGCCTCTTTTTCTCTCACCTCCAACCTTTAGGACTGCCTAGAATCTGAGCCGGTCTCTGCACTTGTAGGGGTGCTGTGGCTCCACCTGGTGGGTCTTGGCCTCATGTCTTCCTGGTACTCAGGCAGTGGGGGTGGGGGCGAGAGAAGGGGTCTGAGCTGCACAAACAGCTGCCCCGCCCCCATCCATGGGAAGGGAAACAGGCTGACAGCCGGCATAGTCCTGGCCTTCCCAGTCAGGCTCTCCTCCCCACATCCCTGCCACCCTGGGCCTCAGTTTCCATAATCGTATAGTAAGAGGGGGGGGGGAGTTAAGGGTGTTGTTGGTAGGCATGGACAGCGGATGATCCTATGCCCCGTGGAACCCTTTCATCTCAAGGTTTCATCTGCAGCAGATAATGGGCTTGTTTGTAGCCCATGATGCCGTCTGCTTGTGTGCCAAAGTCCTTAGCTTACTGCTTCAGCTTTCTTTTGTGTTAGATAAGATGGTTCATAGGACAATGGCAATGATTAAGGACATAAGTGAATAGATCTCAGGAAGCTTTGCACGAAGGGAGAGAGGGTGGTGTGCACACTTTATGGAGATCCTCATGTTACTGTCCAAGACCTTTGTCCTTGTCCGTGAAGACAACCCTTGCCTGTGTGGCTGTTTTCCAGGGGTGGGGCTCTTGAAGGTTAGGTTACCCAAGTGGCCAGCGGTGGGGGTGGTGATAGGGTGGGTCTAAGCTGAGGCTGGGCCACTGGACAAGGGATACTGGCCTGTGCTGAGCCCCGAAAGGAAGCCTGGCCTCCCTGGCCATTATTATGGTTGGGCCCTGTGTAATTAACTCCAAAATGGGAGGCCAGGGAGGAATTAAAATAAATGCTTACTGAAAATTAGAGAGGAGATGTGGGCAAAAAATAGTTGAGCCAGGCTGGAAGCTCAGTGTTCCATAGGACAGGAGGTGGTGCCTGGGGCTGTAGGGTATAGAGCCTCCCCTTGTCCCAGTTTCCAGGCTGGGCCGCACGCACGTGGTGTGTGTGTGTGTGTGTGTGTGTGTGTGTGTGTGTGTGTGTGTGTGTGTGTGTTGCAGTTTCCTTAACTGTGCTTGCTGCTGACTTGTGGCTTATCGTAGCAGAAATGTGCCGCTTGCTGGCAGAGACCAGAGGCTGGGGACAGAGCCTGAGTGGGATGATTTTTCTCTTGGGCTTCTGAGGGAGACTGTGCCCCAGGCCTCTCTTCCAGGCTCTGATGGCTGCTGGTAATACTTGGTGTCTTTTTCTGCATCCATCATCAGGTGGCCTTCTGCCTTTGGGTCACTCTGTCTCCACATCTTTTTAAATCTTTTAATTGTGATATGTAAACATTTCTCGTCGTAACCATTTTTTTCTTTGGTTTGAGTTAGGGCCAGCCGTGTGCTGGGACTATCAGAGAGGGCCACCATACCTAGTTCTACCTTCCCCGTTTCCAAGCAGTGTCTGTCTGTCCGTCCGTCCGTCCGTCCGTCCGTCCATCACCAGGACGGCTCTTTCCCAGACTGCTACCACTCACACAAACCTTCCTCCCCTAAATGCTTTCTGTCTAGACTCTAGGAGCTTAAGGGGAATGGAATCCTCTAGGGTTGGGTGCTCTGCAACAGAACCAGGAAGACAGACGTGGAGCACTTCATACCCAGTGGTTCTCAGCCATGCATGCATGACCTCTAAATTTAACTGAATTAAAATAAAAATGGGAGATTCAGCTATTCATTTGAACATTTGAAATATTTATTGGGTACATGTGTCTCATGGCATAGACTATGCGACAGACTATATAAAGGGCATTGTTATAAAGGACATTGTCATTCTAGAATGTTCTATTGCAGAATCCAGTTCTAGGTTAATGGAAACGAAACTGATGTGACAGCAATATCCAGTGTGGCCCTGGGTTGGACCCTCTGCCATATTTCTTCTCTTCCTTCCCCTCCCCTCCTCCCTTACGTCCTTTCTTTTTTGTTTTCTATAGAGGCCATTCTGGTTGTCCTTTATGAAATATAATGTGCAGATTGGGCGGCATCTGTTAATTTCTTGACTGTGCTGTGAACATGTACGATGATGTCATTGTTCTAGGAAATGCGTGCTCAGGTGTTTAGGGATAAAGCATACTGTGTGCACAGTTCATCCCAAATGTGTTTAAAAGAAACTACTTAGAGTGAGATGGAGATGGACTGACGGACAGGCAGACAGAGAGAGAGAGAGAGAGAGAGAGAGAGAGAGAATGAGAATGAGAATGAGAATGAGAATGTGAATGAGTTGTGTGACACAGAAACCAGGCCAGCATCATCTGTGAATGGTGACATCTCAGCCAGGGCGGTGGGCAGTGGCTCAAGGTAGAGGTAGTTGTGGTACAGGACAGGGATTCTCCACACAACTTGGCTTCTGTCCCCCTGAGCTTAGCTGAGGCTTATTCTGTTTGTGATAATGGCCTGTCATAACGGAGTCCGTTCGCTTGTCCAAACTGCTGATGAGCCAGGGACAGGTTTCCTGAAGTTCACTTGAGATTGGCAGTTGGTCTTGTAGGGATGGGCATTGATTTGCCTTTAGTCCTAGGTTGTACTGGGCTGTGGGTACTAACTAGGTCCTTGTCATTTGAATACTGCGCTCAGCTATGTTAGATACTGGATGACTTCTACATACTGTTTGCCCCCTGCATGGTATCAGAGGACAATCTCTACCTAGCAAGTACCTCAGGAGCTCAGGCCACTGTTTGTCATCTCTCAGACAAGGTTCAAACGAGGAACCCGGTGTTTCAAAGGATGTGCCAGGGCCGCCTCCCATCTGCCTTTCTGTTTAAGTTTAAAAAACTATTTCCAGATCTATCTATCTATCTATCTATCTATCTATCTATCTATCTATCTATCTATCTATCTATCTATCTGCTTTTCCTTGTAACAGTTCTGGCTGCCCTGGAACTGGTTCTATAGACCAGGCTGGCCTTGAACTCACAGAGAGATCCACCTGCCTCTGCCTCCTGAGTGCTGAGATTAAAGGCATGTGCCGACACCACCTGGCTATTTCCTAATTTTAAAGTGTAATTACTTGTGTGTGTGTGTGTGTGTGTGTGTGTGTGTGTGTGTGTGTGTGTGTGCACTGTGTGCATGCAATTCCCACAAAGGCCAGAAGGGGAAGTTGTATCTCTCTGGAACTAGTGTTGCAGGTTGTGTGAGTTTGATCTGGGTGCTGGGAACTGAACCCCGCTTCTTTTCAAGAGCTCTTAACTCTTGAGCCATCTCTCCAGTTCCCTCCTGTCAGTTTCTTTACAGCTGATTCTTCACAGGAAATAGAAGTTGACTGTCTTGTCACCCCTCCCATACAAGTCAGGGTCAGAAGTGGCATGGAGCTTGGTCATGGGGTTGGTGCCAAAGAGGAGGGACCCTGTCATTGGTTTGGGAGTTACAGCCTTTTGTTCCTACGGTCTCGGTCGCGGTTGTCAGTGGCACAGTCCTGTTACTGGCTTTGGCTCCTGTGAAGTGACAGGTGTGTGCTGCAAGGGGTTGTGGGTACGCATGCATAAGAGTGTGGTGTGCACATGTGTGAGGTGCTCTGTCTTGCTTGTTTCTTGGCTGCTGTCACCGTCGGCATTGGGATGCACAGGATTACACCAGGGCAGGGTGTGGTTAGCCTGCAGGTGTCGTCTGTCACCTGCAAAGCAACATGAATAGAGAAGATAGCTGCCTCACCCTGGCAGCACTTAGGCTGCAGTGGTTTTGAGCTGCAGTCCACCTCCCCAGCCTGCCCGGCTGCCTCTGTCTGTGCGGCCACGCAAGGCAGGGCCTCGTGGCCGCTGTGACTCACGTTTTCTGAGATGCTGTCCCCTTACTGATGCCCCTCTCTCTGTCTCTCTAGTTCCTGTGTCTGAAGAATATTCGCACCTTCCTCAAAGTCTGCCACGACAAATTTGGACTAAGGAACAGTGAGCTGTTTGACCCCTTTGACCTCTTTGATGTCCGAGACTTCGGGAAGGTGAGTGGGCTCCTTGACACATGTTTGCACTGGGACATGTGGGCAGCATAGGCTGGCCGCCTGCCAACCCCGTGTGTGTTGCGCTGGGTCATGGATGACAAGGTACTGAAACCGGGTTTGTGTGACAGGGTGGAGCAGGAGGGTGGATCCTCCCTCTCTCAGTCAGGGGAACCACCCACATCTAAATCTGGGGGATGCTATAAATGTCGAGTGTGCTATGCCCCCCTCTCCCCACGAGGGAGAGGAACCTGAGGAGGCAGATGCAAGGGCCATGAAGGCTGTCACTCTTTCGTGGCTGCCTGATGAGCGTGGGTATGGAGTGATAGGGGGTTAGGTGCCACTAAACATGTTGGTAACTGAATTTTTGTTTTTCCCCCAGAAAGGGTTTCTCTGTGTAACAGCCCAGGCTTGCTGGCCTGAGACTCACAGAGATCTGCCTGCCTCTGCCTCCTGTAAGACAAAGTCTGGTGTAATGGCGCTCAGGTTAGCCTTGAACTTTTTATGTAGCTGAGGATAACCCTTTCTGCTTCTACCTCCTGGGTTCTGGGGTTACAGGTGTCCCTTACCACTGGCTTATGCAATTCTGGAGATCAAACTCAGGGCTTCATACATGTTAGCTAAGTGCCTTAACAACTGAGTCATGCCTCCAGCCCTCTGTCATGCCTTCTAGGTAGGATCATGACTGTAGTGTCTTTCAGTTGGGGGACTGACTGTTGAAGTGCAGACCTGCAATCTAGCTTGTCTCCTCAAGCCTCCATCCTGCCTGCCCTTCCCCCCACACCTGGCTTGGCCTCTGAGCCAGCTGCTTCTGCCTGCTGATGGAAGAGGCAGAGGCAGAGGACCCTCTTTAGGAGCTGGGTGTTTGAGGAAATGGCCCATGAGTCCAGGATGTGAATGGGAGAACAACCCTGCAGTTGTGAATGTTGAGAGATCTGTTCCTCAAGGGGCTTCCCTGTGATGTGGTGTTCAGAGCCTGTGATGTTAGTGCTCAGGAACTAGACTTCTGGGAGCCACTGGCCCAGCCGTCTCCTCTGTTCCCGGAGTCTCCCTTTGAGAGTCTTGTTTCTATGAGTGTCCAGATTTTAGAGGTTTCTTTTGGCTATAAAAGCATATAGAGGCCACTGCAGCTATGACTCAAGGGGGACACACCAGGTCTGTAGCTATCAGCAGAACTTGACTCCATGGGTGTGATTTTTGTTAGCTTGCCAAGCAAGCAAGATGCAAGAATAAAGGGGTCATAGAGGCTTGCATCAAGGTTCTAGAAAACTTCGAAGGCCAGGTAGTGTGTAGTAAGGCCTCTGTGTGATGCATGGAGGTCCTGGCTGCAGGGCAGGTATGGGGAGTTTGATGCAATATCATGCGTATACAGAATGTGCTTCCTTTTTCTTGGGTGTATGGATGATTCCTTGCTGGTGTCCTGTCCTATGAGTGGCTTCTCAGTCTGATAGGTCTATCTTGGCTTTGTCCCTGGAAGTGGTTGAGATGAATTTGCCACAGTAGTCTGCATAGGAGGAGCTGATGGCCTAGAGACAGACAGACAGACAGACAGACAGACAGACACACACACACACACACACACACACACACACACCCAGACATTGAATAACCATATAGAGAAAAAGATGGGAAAATCTAACCTAGACACACACACACACACCCAGACATTGAATACCATATAGAGAAAAAGATGGGAAAATCTAACCAAACCCATGTTTGGTTTAGCAGCACAGCCCTGGAGTGTTCTGTGTATAATTTCATTTTGATTCTAATTTGCTATGGCGGAATGCATGATGTAAGACACATAAATCTGGATTAAGCTCTCATCATCCGACCGGCCAACTGTGTGGTCAAGCTGTTTATGAAGAAGGGTTGCCCTTGTCATCGTCAGCAGTTTTGACAAGACAACTCTGACCCTGCAGTGAGTGTGATGTGCCTGCTGCATGTGGGCTGGAGGGGCTTCACCAGGGGCTTTTCACCTTGGCCTCTAGTCTTGTCTCCCAGGCTTTGCTCCAGCATATGCTTATGGGAAATGGGGGTGGATTGTGGCCTTGGACCTTGAGTCATAGGGTGGGGTGCTAGGGCTGGAGGTGACCCTGCTATGCAGACCCTGTAGCCAAGCTGAGGGGTGGGGCCCAGCCTCATACTCTGTCCTATAGGAGCTCATATGGCCAGAAGTCTACCTTTGACTGTGGCTGCTTCAGACCCTGTCCAGTCCTGAGGGTGGGCTGGGTGGATCAGGGTCCCCTGCACCACTGCTGGGTAAATAGATACCTAACTCAGTACCCCTATTCAGTTGGTTCCCATCCTTCCTAATGCTGCAACCTTTTATACAGTTCCTCATGCTATGGTGGCCCCCAACCATAAAATTATTTTAGTTGCTACTTCATAACAGTAATTTTGCTGCTGTTATGAATCGTAATGTAAATATCTGTGTTTTCTGATGGTCTTAGGTGACCCCTGTGAAAAGGTTGTTAGACCCACAGGTTGGGAACCATTGCTCCAGACCCTAATGAGTGAGGCTGTGAGAGGTAGAGGGATAGAGAGAGGGGGGAGTGTGTGAATTGGGAGTGGGAAGTGCCCATCAGGGCTGGCCATTGTAGTGTCCCCTCACATAGAAATCCATGCTGCTGCCATTGTCTGACCACCAGTGCTAGTAGGAACCAACCCCGACTGCCACAGGGAGGCGTCCGCCTCTCCCCTTGAATCTTTCAGTTACCTTGTTTGTAAAAGTCACAACACTTGCACCTTTGAAGGATAGAACCTGGCAGCTAAGCTCTGGAGCTCTGGAACCCAGCAGGTTGGGTGTGTCTCTGTTCTGCCATCATCAGGATGCAGCCTTGCAGGTTCTCCAAGGCCTGTCTGTAGATAGCCGGGGGTACTGCTTTGAAAGTCTGTCCAGAAGAGTATGAATCTTGATGCCTGCTCTGCCCCTGCAGCCAGCTGTGGCCCCAAAGCTCTGGCTCTGCATGGAGCCGACCTGATGTCTCCTGTACCTGCCTTTGGTGCCTTCTCTAGTCCAAGTTCTGCTGGAGTTAGGCTGGCCATGGCGAGGGAGAGCAGGGCTCTGTGCTCTCTCTGTGTTCACCTGGGTGAGACCTGACCCTTGCATGGCCTTGATCTCTTAAACCTTTGGGGAGATCGTGGCTGGCTCTTGAGGCATTGCTTGAAGGATTCAGCAAGGAAACGAATGATTAGGTTCTTGTCATTTTTAGTGTGTTTTCTTCCTGCTCTTGGTCCTTCACCCTACCAGTTCCAGCAAGTACTGAGGGATCCAGAATGTAGTTCCGGAAGTGTCTTTTTGGCTGCCTTCCCTGGTGTTTTTCCGAAGAGTTACATTAAAGATAATAGGCTTTAGTTCAGATAAGTCCTGTCCTGGAGATTGCCAAGGGTGACTGTACTGCATGGCAGCCAGGCTCTGGTTGCTGGCTCTGTGAGGTGCCTGCCCACTTAGAGATGCAATCTCCGGGCCTCGTCCCTGCCGTGTGGTGTTTTTTTTTTTTTTTGTTTTCATGTGTCGTGTTCAGCTGCTGGAGCCCAGGGTGCGAGGGACTGTGGACACTCCTTAGATGGCCACCCCTGGCTTTCTGGGAGTTTTGAACAAAGAAAACCCCTTTGAAAGTTTGGTGGGGACCCTGGGGAGGATTCTGTTTGCTTTCTTCTGAGATTTCAGCTCCTGGACACCGGAGGTCACCAGGGTAGTGGCAGCGTTGCTTCCTCCCTGTGATTGGGGCACCGATTCTGTGTCAGTCCTCCTCTGTGCTGATGCGTCTATTCCTTCTTTCACACTGTGGAACAGGAAGTTAGGCTCACAGAGAGTGGCCAACTTCCTGCTTAGGGTCAATGGCCGGGTATCTTTTCTTTTGGAGTTCCCCGTCTTCCAACTCGGCACTGGGAGCTCCGGCTCCATTGCCTGCTGAGCTGTGAAGTTCCCTAAGCCTACATCTGTCAGTCACTGCTGTGCCATCCTCCGGGTGCAGGAGGCTCATAGCCAGGCCTGTACTGTAGAGCACCCTGGGCGGTGCTGCAGAGTGGAACAGGGAGGCACAGAGACCTGTCGCTGTTAACATCTTTGTCTGACATGGTAGCCACTAGTTTTGAGCATTTTGACCTGCCTTCCTAGGCTGAGGTGAAGGTGGCAGGGTCTCAAAAGATACAGGGTGTCCTTTGAAGGATCAGGAAGCAGGGGAAGGAGGGAGGAAGGCTGGTGAGGGAGACAGAGAAAGGGGAAGGGGGGTAGTAGGGTGGTTTCTCTGAGGTCTCAGACGGCTAACTGAGGTACCTAGTTTAACGTGTCAAAGCCGACTCTGGCCTCCAGTCTCTCCCAGCTCACAGATACCTGTTACAGAGTCATCCTGGCTGGCATACTCCCGCCCCATGCCCACCATACCGTAAACCTCTCCAGCCCCCGAACTTCACCGTCTTCGCCAGCGTCTCTTCCCTGTATAACTCAGCCATTTTGGCTATTTGCCCTCTTGAACTCTTGGTTCCCAGGTGTTCCCCAGACCCCCCCCAAGTCTGGACCCTTCCAGAGGCCTCTGGCTGTGCTCTCCCTCGTATATATCTACAGTAAACCTTCTCCTTAACCATACCCGGGAGCAGTCATGTCCTCATTTTTCATTTCATCTCCTAAAGCAGCATAGGGGGCTGTAGTTCCTGCCTGCAGGAGGCCCATTGTGTGCTTCTGGCTGTCCAAGGGTGGGCTCGCCCCCCCTGAACTTTCCCCTGCTTCAGCTTGCTAACCTCTGCAGCCAGCTGACCCGTGCCGACAGGGAGCCCCTTAGATCCCACCCATCACTGCAAGGCCTTGGAAGTTTCTCGAGACAGGGTTTCTGTAGTGATGTATTCCTTATGCTTTACTAAAGTTTGTCTGAGGATCCAGAAAAGCAAAGCAGCTGGGCACTAGCTCTCACCTATATAGCTCAGGCTGAAAGGGCTGATCCACGCACGAGCTCTTCACCAAGTCTCAAACTGCTGTCTCTCCTCAGTGTGGCTGGAGAACG